TACAGTTGGCCTCGGCCCATCGATCCAGCCTGTCCAGGTCCCTCTGCAGAGCCTTCCTACTCTCCAGCAGATCAACACTGCCGCCCAACTTGGTGTTGTCTGCAAACTTACTGAGGGTGCACTCGATCCCCTCATCCAGATCATTGATAAAGATATTGAACAGAACTGGCCCCAATACTGAGCCCTGGGGAACACCGCTCGTGACCGGCCGCCAACTGGATTTAATTCCATTCACCACCACTCTTTGGGCTCATCCATCCAGACAGTTTTTTACCCAGCGAAGAGTATGCTTGTCCAAGCCATGAGCAGCCAGTTTCTCCAGGAGAATGCTGTGGGAAACAGTGTCAAAGGCTTTACTGAAGTCTAGGTAGACAATGTCCACAGCCTTCCCCTCATCCACTAGGCGGGTCACCTTGTAATAGAAGGAGATCAGGTTAGTCAAGCAGGACCTGCCTTTCATAAATCCATCTATACAGTCAGTTCATTTTTCTGATTTGATTGTTAATGATTTTATGAAAAATGTGGATGTGAGGCAGGAGCTACAGGGAAATCCATGGCTGGATTACACAGCCGAGGTGAATATCCAGAGTGCGGACTATGCTGCTATTTAATTGGGAAATGAAGAAATTCTTATGAGGATGATTTGCATCAACCTGTTTGATATATTCAACTCTTGCCACCAAAAAGTGATTAGGAATAAGTGATGCAGTGAATAGCTATTTTGGCAGATGAAATCAAGAGGCCTACTGTAAAGCTGAGTGACCTTTAAGATGGATAAAGATATCTGAAGTGTTAAAGTAATTGCAAGCACAGAGCTATTATTCACTTTCTAAAGGGTCTGTAACGTTTTCCAAAGGGGGACAGTTATTTGATTGCAGCCTTAATTTAAAATGGAATCGAGCTATAATTGTGTAATGGGATGGCTACTTGGATGTCCTCGTTTATCAGCTTATCTTATATCCTAAAAATTATCTTTTATGTGCAAAAATAGCTTTATTTTTGGTTTTGGGTTTTAATTGGTACTTGTAGAGAATTGCAGGATTAATTGTGCAGTGAAGCAAATATCTGAAGACTTGTGTAATTCTGTTAAATTTAAAAAAGCCTTTACTTGATTTATAGTTTAGGGGCCCGGTTTTCTAAGAGTAAGCTTGAATAGATACACAGTGTATTGTCCTGCTTGATCCTGGCACTAGCTGTCTGGCTTAGTATGGGTCACCACTCCCTAGTAACTTTTTTTACAATTGGGGAATGTGAGGTCACACTAACCTTATAAAATTTAGCTTGTCTCTGTTTGATTCAACATGACGGAATGTAGTTTCCTTGCCAGTTAATTTCTGATATTGTGTAGGCTCTGCAAGTAGTAGAATAGCCCAAGGTTGCAGTGCTTTCTGTGACTTTAAACAATTTTCTTTTCATATGAGTTTTGGCCTATATTCAATAATTGATTTTGATTTGGAAACACCTTTGTGCTTTATTAGAGTTGATTTCTTGCACAGAGTTGTTTGCAGATCCCATAATTTGTCTTTGCTGTTGGTATTCATTTAGACTACCAGATTCTTATCTGCTTGCTGTTGTGAGGATGAATTAAGGTTTGTTTTGAAACATAATGTTTGTTCAAGTCTTCACTGCCTGGTGCTATTCTCCTAGCAACAGGATTTAGTTTAGTTGTTTGAACAGCTGGCTGATTTGTAAAGAAGTGTGATGAGTTCTGGTCACTCCATATAGTGAAATAGCTTTAAAAGCTGAAGATTATCAACTGTGTTTGCATCCGCCTTCGCATTTATAAGGCTCACTAAGGTATAAAGGAGATTAAGAAATTGTACTATCTTTAAATAAGGTAATCAATGACGCTAGACTACTTTTGGTGTAGTTTTGGGCTTTTCACTTGCTTTCCAATGGTGAAAAACCCTAAGTGTAACTAGTCTTTCTTAGCAATGGACCAACCATTTTCTGAAGTGCACTGTTCCTTGCTTGGCTGTCTTACTGTGAAGCTTAAAGATAAAATGTACGTCTATTTTCTACAGAAAATCTACTCCAATCACAGCTAAGGCGAAAAGATGTATATCGTTTTTTGTGCTACATTGACTGGTAAAAGGTTCCAAAGAGGACTTAATTTTCTTTTTGTGGGTTCAGCACCTTGCGCTAAACGTGTTTCTGGTAGTTCTGTATGCGCAGAATTTCCAGAGAATCATCAGGAGTTGTAGTTATTAAGAGGTAGTGAAACTTACTTCGTATTTGCACTTTTTTTCCAGTCTTGACAGGCTAGTTCCAAAACATGACTCTTTCCAAATAATTGTGTCAGTCCTAATAATATTGAAATTATTTTAGTACTAGTGACTAAAATCATTAGAAGACAGATGACCTCTTCCCACTTCTATTCAGACATTTACTTAAGCATATTTGAGTTTCACCTAGTGAACAGCTATGCTGACTTAAAATAAAGCAAGTATCTTAAATATCCCCCTAGATCCAATTCAGATAAAGATACTTAAGCTTGCCTGGTCAGTTATTTCCCAATGAAATGTGTCCCACACCTTTGCCATTTGATTCTGTGGATGAAATTGTAATCTGTAAACATTCTCGGGCTTCTTTTCAGAAAAGTACCAATGTTTAACTTGTCTCCTACATCCTTAGCTGTTTTTTCTTCTTGTAACTAGTAAACCTTGCAGTTAAACCATATGGGTTGTATGCTCTTTTTAGGCTTGGGATTCCTATTGCTGGCAGTACAAAGGCCAAGGAACTGTATTGTGGCTGTTTTCAGCTAGGTTGAGTTGGAGGCCGTAGTGTTCAAAATCTGAGTAACAGAACTCTTGTTTCTAAACCATAACTTAAGAAAAGGGACAGGAGATGACAAATGAAGTTCAGCTTCTTTGGGGGAAAAACTTGACTATGAGTGTACTAAAGTTCTGTGTGACTTCATCATGCCAAGCAAAAATAAACATTTTTTTAAAGACTATTTGGTGAAGACTGTGACTATGTGTTAGCTTCTTGTCACTAAGATAGACAAAAACATTAGAAAGAAGAAGAAAGATAGATAAACACGTACTGAAATTAAAAATAGATGATAGAATCTGATCTAGAGTAGTATGTGTGACAGCTCAAGAAAGTTTACAGAATTAGGATTTGCAGAGGTACAGAGGGGTTAGAAGTAGGGAAGAAGTCTGGTAAAAAGAACTGGAAAGAAAGAAAGGAACTGAAGAAAATAGACTATTCTCAAATAACACATAACATTATTGTTTAACTGTGTATCCTTTTAAATTCAGTGACATAAAAGGTAACATTTTCTCTGTGAACACACAGTTGATCATGATGATTTTTGATTTTAGTATCCTCTTTGGCAATAAATGTAATCAGAGGGAGAAGGCTGGAAAAATAACTTGAGAATTACAGCAGAAGGAATATTATAAAGGAGATAACTTTTGGTTTCAACTAATTGGAAGAGACTTATGCCTAGCATTAGATTATCCTGGATCTGTCTCCTGTGGTGGATGGGGAGGGCATGTTGGTTTTTTGTTTTGTCATAAAATTCATGTAGAGTTGAGTCAATATTTTAAAGATAAAGACAGAATGCTACTTCATGAAGAATGCTACTTCATGAAGCCTGTTCTCATTCTAAAATACAGTTTCTAATTTGCTCTTTGATTATGGATGGGGTGGGAAATGAGGAAAATGTATGTAAGACTTATTGTAAGTGATGTAGTTTGACCACCTGCATCTTAATACTTGATGCTTTCCCATATGAGGCTTGGTTGTCTGCTGTTTCTAACCGTGCTAAGCTTAAAGCTATATTTTTTTCACCCAGATGTTTCTCAAATAAAGTTTTGTTTTTTTTGGTTTTTTTTTTTTTTTTTTTTAGAAAACTTCAAATTAAATCACTCGCTGCTGGGAGGAGAAATTTTTTGGTTTTGTCTTGTCAAGCAGCCTTTCAGAAATGAGGTTCTTTCATGCCTCCAGCTGTCTGGGCAAGAATTTGAATCTTGGACATGTAGCATACTGTCAGGGATGCTAATATGATGCATTTGACTGTCTCATAAAAGTGTTTATTTTAAGAGGTTTAAGTGCCTCTGTTCCTTGAGTCTGATCTAGCAATTGCATTGTTGCAAGTGAAGTTTGTTGCTAGCCTAATTCAGTGAAAGTGAGGAGTGAATAGGAGCTTCCCCACACCTCGCACCTCCTTCATCGGCAACATGAAATTAAACTGTGAGGCTGCTCTGAGGAAACTCCATGACTTTAATGAGAAGTGGGGAACAGAGGTAATATGGGGAAGGTATGTATATGAAAAAAAATTGAGAACTCACCTTGGGCCTGTGAGATTAGAAGGAAAAATGAGAAAATGAAACGGAGGCTTGGTAAGATGGCAAGGGAGGTATGAGGAGAGCTAGGAGAGAGTAATCTTGGCGGGCAAGAGGACAGAGGAGGGAGAAAATGGAACGTGAGCAGATGCTAGGGCAGTAAGGAAGGTATTTGGAGGTGAAGAAGTGAGAGAACTGTGAGGGACAGGCATGTTTCCCATGTAGATCATGTATGTAATTGAAGCTGTTATTTCCGAGTCTCTCAATATTTCTTTTTTTAAATGCAAATCAACTGAAAAATGCTGATAAAAATGTCTCCATCATGTCCAGTAGAGGACCATATTAATTATAAACGGTCATCTTCTGTCCTATTTGAATATGCAGTTGAGGGTGCCACTTTTTTGTGGAGCAATTAGGCTTCCAGTGAGACATGCAATACAAGTGCTAGAAATTACGTTGGAGGCATATGAACCAACAAATATCATTATTAAAATGAAGTTAAAGAGAGAAATAGGATAAAATCCAGTACAGTGCATTGCGATGTGAATTATACTAGAATAATATAATAGCTTTTTGAGAGCCTTTTCAGACAAATAAAACGTAATGGCTCTTATCCGTCTGGACTTGAGTAAAGCACTTGATTCAGTGCCTTGTGAGAAAATGTTAGAGAGGATGGAGGTTTAGAAAGGAATTGAGGATGGGTAAGAAATTGGCTATAGGAAAGAAGACAGTAGGTAATATTGAAAGAACAATATTTGTTTGGGTTATCAATAGTTAATCTTGTTTAATATTTTCAGTAATGGTTATGATATGAGAAGTAGACCTATGAGGAGACACAGTTGGAAGGTATTGCCTGTAAGAGAGAGGATTGTGACAGTATCTAAAAATGATTGAAATAATAGACATGAGAACAACTGTGACAGTATAGAAATCAAGGTACCAGACTTACGAAAAGCCTCAGTTGTGACCTATTAGACTAGGATTTGAAAATTCCCAAGGGAAGGAAGTACTTGGGCTTCTTGATCATAAAATGGCAATAAGCAGCCAAAACAGATTGGATCACAAAAAAGAAAATGCAGTCTAGGATATGTCAGGACGAGTATTTACAGTATAAAACGGATGAAGCATTACTGCCTTTGTAAAGGCAGTAGCAAAATGTTTTGACGATCATATAAGACTTTTGGTTGTCCATATTCAAGAAAGATTCAAACTGGGAGAGTTACAAAGAGACTGTGATGGTACTGAAAAACCAGTCTTAGGAGACTGTCTCTCGCTTATTATTTATAGCAAAATAAAGCCTGAAAGAAGGTGAGGTGGCTGTTCGTTAAAACAGGGAAAAGCAGCACTGGGGAGTTAGGGAAACAATTTAAGTATAAGGGTGTTATTGTCATAGGAGTGAATTAGTGCAAATGGGTCATAAATAAAATTAATCTGGAAATTGAGTATTGTAATTTTTTATTGTATGAGCATTGGATTTAACGCCAACTGGATTTAACTCCATTTATCACATGCAGCCTTGCTATCACAGAACCATGTAATACAGGAACTTAAATTGCCTTTGAGAAGCAGGTAAGTATGTTGTTTCCACCATATTGCTTCAGAAGATCTTTCAGAACCTCGCTGCTCTAATACTAAATTACAATACTCAATACATGAATATTGTAATTACATGGTTCTGTGATAGCAAGGCTGCATGTGATAAAACAGGCGTATTATCCCCTTCTGTGGTCCTAGCTCACAGCGTGAAGACTGTTCTTCTGCAGGACCTACATACTTGCATGACTCTGGAATCTGTGTGTCATCAAATTGGCTTATATCCAAGTACTTAAAATCAGTGGAGGGGAATTAAGTTTAACATTCTTGGCAGGAAACCAATCAGTGAAATAATGTAGCTTTTTACTCCTTTAATTTTAGATGTGGTCTGGGTTTTTTTTGTAGTGTGTATGATGGCATGATACTTGCTGAAAAATCAAGAAACTTTTCTAGAAGGCTTTTTTTTTTCCCCTTCATTTTGCTCATCAGCTCATACGGTACCCCATACTGGTACAAAAAGCCAAAAAAGTCTGGCCCCGACAGCAAAAATGGCATTGTAATGTGAAGTGAACATTTTTTTTTTTTTTTTACGACTACTTATTTTTTAAAGTAGACAGCCTTTGTAAACTACTTTAACTTAATGTAACATCTGTATTCCTAATTTGTTTGTGTGTTTAGAAAATAATTTAATATGGTGTTTAATAGTGGTATTACAATTTATTTTTATGTCTGTTTTACAGCCTATTCGACACTTGAAATATTCATCCTTTAAGAAATCCTTGCTGGGCAGTGTTTCTGATAGTGGAAATGTAACTCTGTGGGATGTAAATAGCCAGAACCCATATCATAATTTTGAAAATACTCATAAAGCACCAGCTTCAGAAATCTGCTTTTCTCCAGTCAATAAGCTGCTGCTTGTAACTGTAGGTTTGGATAAAAGAATTATTCTCTATGACACTTCAAGTAAAAAGTGAGTATATTAAAGACCTTTTGATTTTTAGGATCCTTATTTGGTTTTTATAAACTGAAAAAACACTCCTAACTATGACATGAAATATTTAATTCAGACCACATTCAGAATGGTTGAAGTGGTTGGCATATTGCTACTGGAGAACCTGTCCCATAGTCCTTTTTGCTTTTTTATTTAAAAAACAAACAAACAAAAAACCCCAAACAAACGATAAAAAAAAAGGCGTGTGGGAACTAATTGAGCTGCTACATGTGAGTGACCTCTCCCAAGTGCTTGTGTATGGGCTTTTCTTGTTGATACAGAGGAATTAGCTTCTGTGAGGGGCAGTACAGCCTGAGGACCTGCAGCCACCTGAGCTTAGCTTGCCTGTTTTTCTAGTTGAAGGTACAAGACATAGCTGTGGTCAGATGCACAGTGTTGCTGAGATAGTGAGCCTTATATATGGGAGGGTATTGGTTGCAAAAGCAGGAAGTATGTGGCACACGTGATGGGGCTGTGTAGTAGAGAGGGTAGGATGGCAAGTGGTTTCATGGGGCTTCGGTTCTAGTGTGGGTTGTGCTTTCACTCTAGCTGAATAAAAGCAGGAGTCTGGCTCTAGTTTGGAGGGGGTGTAGTAGAAGGATGCAAACTAGGACCTGAGGTTCTTCCTAGAGTTGTGGGAAGGTTAGAGTTGACAGGCTTGGGATGTATGTTAGAGGATGTATGTAGTATGATTGCTGCTGGAAATGATGATACCAGTGAATAACGTTGGTGTCAGAACTGCTGTTATGAAGGCAATTTGGTCCTGTCCTGGTGAAATCTTTTGGGGCATGTGCAGTCTTTAATTTGTTAAGCATGAACACTTAGTATAAGCCTAATCCACTGTTCCGTAAGATATTTCACTGAATTTACTTGGCACTGGAGAGGTGGAACTACTGACCTGTAGCTGAATTATGAAAGCTTTTATTTTTTTTTTTTTAGGTACTCTGTTTTGAAAAGTCTAACTTTTGAACTCTAAAAGCTTCTTTATCCTGTTCTTTCTCCTGTTTGAAGATTACTGACAACAATAGTAGCTGATTTTCCTCTGACAACAGTAGACTTCATGCCTGATGGTACTACTTTGGCTATAGGATGTTCCCGGGGAAAAATCTGCCAGTATGACTTAAGACAACTGACGTCACCAGTGAAAACAGTTATCGCTCACAAAGGCTGTGTGAAATGTATACGCCTTCAGTTCAGTAGCACTTTTTCCAAGGTAAAAAAACTTTCCTTTTTATTGCTCAATATGCAGATCAGTGAAAGCAAAGCATAAGTTTAAGTTCTAAAAAAGTTAGTATTCAATTTCTAAGCATTATAGATGCCAACAAAAGTGGTTCATACCAACACAGAAGTTACAAACTGCTCAGTCTTAAGTGCCATTTTAGGGGGTTTTAATGTGGAATTCCCCCCACCCATAGCCTCGATGTATAAATAAGTGAAACTTTAGTCTTAAATTTCCTGACGTGAATATGCTGCCATTGCAGATGAGTTTGTGGCACCTTGGATTCATTTGTAGGCAGTAGCAGAAAGATTTGTAATGGCCCTTCCACTTAAGGGGAGGAGACACAGCTGCCTGTCTTGAGGTATTTTGCATGGTCTTTTGCAGGGACATGCAAACAGTGGAGAAGTTGATTAAATAATAGAGAAGGCTTAAGAGATTTTTCCAAGACTTAATTAGGCTCTACTCTATCCAGAAACCCCATGCGTCCATTCAGTGGAGATGGAGAGAACCTTTGAAGTGGATTCTTTACTGCTCTGAGACTTTCCTCTTCTTCCAGCACACTTGCTGCTAGTGGTTGACTATTCCTTTACAATTTGGAGTCCCTAGTAATGTAATCTCTTATTTTTCCTTTGCCTAAGCCTAGGATTGAAATTGGCTTGTGCCAGGTCACTTCATTGTTACCTTAAGTTCTGTTGCTATTCTTTTGCAGGTCCACACAGTATTCATATAGTAATACAGACGTTTGCTGTGTTCTTTGAAGTTACGTTAAGATACTTTTTTTAATAGTTGTAAAGGAATATCTCTTAGGCAACCTTTGCAACTTGAACTGAATTTTTTTAGTATTTTGAAACAGAAATAATATTGGCTTATATATTTACTTTTAGCTGAGGGAATAATAACTTCTCTTAATTTGTTCTGTTTTTTTCTTCAGTCTAACCTTACAGGTTCTTCAAATAAACCTGTATCCAAAAGAGTAGAAGTCAAAGCTGGTAGTAATCTTGGAGGAATTCAAAATATTGGCATCAAAAACATTGCCTCTCAAGCATCAGCAACAGTTTCATCTCATCTGACACTGCCAAATGAGAATAAGGGAGATGCTCTTCAGGAGAAAACAGGTACTGTCTTCTTCCTACTCTTAAAATCGTATTTGGCATAATGAGAAGATGGAAGGAATATTTCATGCCTTGACCACTACAGTATAAAAATTTCACCGAGGGAAGGGCATTTGTTTGAAAGAACTGTGTGTACGTGCACGCACATCTGCACCTTCTTTTCCCTCCCCTACTGCATTAGACATACTATGAGACTGTGGGAAGTAAATTGGGTCCTACTACAAGCTTTAGACTTGTGAAGTCTAAGATTCTGGACTTGAAGCAAAAGTATGTATTTAAACTTTAAAGGAGAAAACTCCATGGTGATATTGTGGGGCTGTCTCTTGCATTCTGACTTGTAGATTATCCTTATGTACATAATGTATTTTCTTACACTATGTCTGTATGGAATGCAGAGCTAATGGTTTGTAATTCTATTAATAAACAGGAGTAACAGACCTCATCTAAAAAAACCACCTAACCAAACAAAACACAGGAAAAAAAACCTAGTCCAAAAACCCAAGTGAGAACTGAACTGTATTTTTGTATGAGGCATGTTTCCAATATCACATGGTAGGAAAGATGTTAAATATAGTTGCAAGTATGATTAGTTGTATAACTGTTCTTGCTATTTATGCTTCTGAAATTAACAAGTTCTTTATAAGGATTCTGAGCATTATTCTAAAATTCTGCCACTGTGTGAAATGTACTCTTAAATTTTTATTTAATTCAAGAGTTCTGAAAATATGGTCAAATCAGTAACACTGTTAGTTTGATTCTTGAAAAAATCCTCAATCCATTTTAATGCAACAGCACTTTTCCTCTCCCTTTATAAATAAGGAGAAATACATTTAGCAGCAGTAATTAGGCAATAAGCCACTACAGTCCATAGGGATGTGTATTAATGACCTCCCTTGGGTACGCAGTGAAGTACGAGGTGGAATAGAATGCTTCCCATGTATGCAAGAAGTGTTCCTAATCAACGTTACTGAATGGTGTGGAAAATTTTATTTCAGTTAAAAATGTATGATTTATTATCTTTATTTGAAGATGTAATGGCTGTTACCCCTTAAATAGGACCATGCATAATAAATAAATGTTTTAAGAAAATAAAGGCTTACCAGGTAAAACAAATATTTTTTTCATTAAACTGAATGTTCACTTTAGAAGTAAACACCCCTGTATACTTCAGAAGATACGGGCTTTAAACTTAAAAATGGGAAAGGATGGGAGACCACAAACTGCATTTGTTTTGTGGAAGCTCTTCTAAACCCTGATTATGGGGTTTAACTTTGGAGAAATAAAGGTCATTCAGTAAAGTGATCTGATAGCATATTTAAAACAAAAAAAACATCTGTTCATTCAGCTTATAAACAGGCTGGGGCTTTTTGCCACAGGTATTTTAAAATACAAAAGTATAAATGAAGTCAGAATGTGAGGAGAAGTTTGGATGTACTTTGAGCTGGCTTCCCATAAACATCTATTTAACAGCCGTCCTCTGGTGTAGGTACTTACCCATTCCCAGTAATCTAAATGTAGTAAAAAATATGCAAAAGACATTTTGCCCTATTTTATATTCTGCTTTTTCCATGTAGATCCTCTGTAGATTCTGGCACAGGTTGATACTGCGCTTCTCATTTGACTCAGTACGCCAAGTATTTACTTAACTAGCATAGTGCAATCCTATGTATGTGTCGCAACTGACATGTCTGAAGGAATGGAAAACGTGCTATATTAATACATTTAAAAGTGAAATTTTAAACCTGACTCAAGTCCCAGTTTATGTAAATACTTGGACATGATAAATTGTAGTCATCCAGTCACATTTGGATCATTTGAACAAGTAATCCCACATAGAGAAGTAGTTACAGGTTTCATGAACAGCGGTTTGTTTATTTTTTTTTTAATTAAAGTAGGTATGAAGTAAAGCTTTTATCTGTATGGGTGACTTATTTATAGGAGATTGATTTATGTATTGCACAGCACTAATGCTCTTTGCCTAGATCTTAACTTATACAAACAAAATTTAGGCACTTTTAGAGTTAGGAGTTCAGTGAGGGCAGAGTAGCGGCTTGCTTACAGTGCTGATCTGGTTTTCAAACATAGTAGATTGTGAAAGTGATTCAGGTGGTTATCTTAGCAGTTCAATTCACTTCTCCACGTATTCCTCATCTAAAAACTGTAGTTTAAATTACTACTGGGTTTTTTTTGTACTTAAGATATGCTTCCATTCTTCAGACAACTGTCCCTGCTACCATGCATACAAAAGTTAACTTTTTTCCCCGGATTGGGTCAGGGATGGGGCTTGAGGGTGGAGTGGGGAAAGGTCTAGGGACAAGTTTGTTTTGTCTGCAACTGTAACCCCAGTCTGATTTCCTAATATTAGAAATAAGCAGAGAATATCCTAACATCAGGTAAGATTTAAAATAAATGTTTCATAGAATTTCCCTTAGAATGCTTAATGGCCCCAGTGAAGCAGATTTCTTTTCTTGCAGAATAGATTTAAATTTTGATCATCTGAATGTGATCACCTTCTTAGCTGAAGGTGCATTCACTAGTTTTCATTTCACCTGATACACCATAAATTTGCTGCATCCATCATGTAGATTTATCTGAAAATGAGTGCATTCTCCAGTTTGACACCTCTCCTTTTTAAAAAGAGGAAAGGAATCCAACTGTATCTTATTTTTGTTAACACGTATCTTAGCTTTTAGTTATATTCACCTGTGATGACAGCCCAAATGAGGAAGTTCAAGTTGACCCTCTAACTGGAATGTATAGGAGGTTCTAAAATGCTTGCTGGACTTACCAGCCATCATGCTTACTGTGAGATTGTTTAGGGATAATGTTTGTTATTTTTGGAAAACTTCAATTGCTAACTGAATGCTATTGTCCTTTTAAGGCTTTCCCCATAGTTGCAGCCTGGATGTGATTCCATCTAAAGAAACAGATCATGGGAAAAGTGCTGATTTAAATAATTTTGATGATTTGGGTCGAAGTAGTTTAGGAGATGTGTTTTCTCCAGTCAGAGATGGTAAGTTGCTAATACTGAAACTTCTAAAGCATCATTCATCTGCATATAGCATGACGTTTTGACATTTGTGTGTTACTGACCGCTGCACCTACTTGGTATTTGTCTTTGATGATGAACTCGATGCAATGATACAAATATTGATGTAGGTTTAATTTAATAAACACTTAATTTGTCTATGTTCTGGTACTTTGTAGATATTATTGCAAGTAAAGCGAATGAAGATCCTCAAGGAAAAGGAGATGGTAAACATGCTTTCAGTATATTTTTCTTTGTCAGTGGTAGGCCTTTGGAGGCCTACGCTAGTTCTTACATGCTAATTTTGTCATACCATTGAAAATAAAAGATGAAAGCAGACACTGAAACAAATGAACTTTTCTGGAAATTGTCTAACACATTGAGGTGCTAAGACACAACATGGTAACAGGAAATCCAAGAGTATGGTCCTAAAGTGATTTTGTTTTTCCCTTTTGCAATGTATAGTGATATATGGAGGCTTTTCATGCTTTATTACTTTCATAAGGACAGTGACAGTGTAAGTTGGATTTAAGGATTTAGTTTTTGTGGGGTGCATTTTTGGGTGATTTTTTGTTTATTTGTTTTGTGTGGGTATGCAGGCATTTTACTTGTGGGTTTGATTTGGTGTGTGTGTTTGGTTTTTGACCTGTGTGTTTCACCCTTCCCTTTTCTTTTTCAGGTCTGGATTTGCAGTCCTGCCTTTTGGGTTTGGATTTTCTCCCACAGCTCACCACTGCCTTACCAGTAAAAAGAAACCCAGTGGGCAGTAGTGCACAAGGGATACGGTCTAGCCCATTACATGCACTTTTGGGATCTCCAATTAAAGAAGAGGAAGAACGTCCAGAGACTGACACTAAGAAAATAGATCTTGGGAAACAAGAATCTAAAGAAGTCTTAAAGCAGGTATACTATACGAATTCTTGTTATGAATAGTCTTTTTAGAATCTTGACAGAATACTACTACTTGAAGGAAAAATCCTTAGTAGCATCCCAGCTAATCTTATTTTGCAACTCTGTTCACACTATTGACACAAATCTGTAAAATGTTGTTCAGTTTAAGTGCGTTGGCCTTCAGCAATGCAAGATATTTCTCTTTAAATAAGCTCAGGTTACAAAAGTTCACAGGAAACAAAACTGGGCTAGCCTGAGGAATATTTTGATTTTTCTGGAAGATCAAGAATGATGATTAGTTGGTTGCGCCAGTATGATTGTTTCATTTATTAGGTCAATTCCACCCTCAATTACACCCTCTCTTATTTCCCTATTCTCCATCTCCGTCTCTTCTTCCTTCTTGAGCTATCTCTGATATGCTTCTGCTGAGACCCTGGCTCCTTTTGTATTGCTTTTGAGAAGTCTGAGTTTGCTAGGAATGATGTTTATAACTTCGCCACAAAATGTTTGATGTGAAAATTAAGAGGCCCCTGCCTTTTGCACTCCTTTGTGTGCACATTTGAGGCAATTTTGAATATTTTAGCAATCAATTTTTAAGATGTCTTACTAGAAAATGAAAAGCATATATTTGTGAGTAGATTCCTAAAAACAAAAATGTTTGACAGTGCATTCCTGAAAACTTAGTCTTCAAGTGCAGTTAGGTAACTGTAATAAGTAGAGTTCATCATCATCTTTTTTTTTTTTAAATATTTTTATTGTCAGCTTTCAAAATCGAGCTCATCAAGTGCAGAATCTGTAACCTTAAGTCCTCCACCATCATCCACTGCTGTAAAGGCTCCTGATACAAATGAGAGACTAGTGAAGACTATTCAGGCCCATCCTGCATATGATCTACCAGTAAACGGTACTACCTCAATAAGTAAGTTGATCATTTTGGCTCAGTTTTAGGTGTGGTTGATTGCGAACTGACATGAAACCTGATAAGATGGCCTTAGCATTAAAACAGAACATCCAACCTTGATTCTTCTGTAAATCCAGTTAGCTGTCCCAGAACATCTTAGTTGTCTCTGAAAAGACTCATTCTAAATCTAAATTTTTTTTTACTAGGTAATATTTGAGATAAAATATTGACAAGCCTCACGACAAATAAAAAACCCTCTTGTACTCCATTATGCTGATTATTTTTTTTATTATTTATTTTATTTTATTTTTAATTGTAAAGGTCCAAAGATAACATCACCTGTCACTGCTGGAGTTGCCAGTTCATTGTCAGAAAAAATAGTAGAAACCATTGGGAGTAGCAGACCAAATGCACCTCTGACATCAATCCAAATAAACTTCATTCAGAATATGATACAAGAAACAATGGATGACTTCAGGTACTGGTATTCGTGCAGAACATTTTTGTTTTCGATGATATGTTTTCTTAGTAGGATGTTTTAGCATCTGCTTTAACATATTTTCTACTTGCATTAGAAAATGACACCATTAATAGCCCTAATCTTGGAAATCTAGGTATGAAACTTGTTTTTTTACTTTGAATAGCTCCAATGACTAATTAGACTGATGTCTCTGAGGGTTGTTAATGCATGGCTTTGCTAACGTGTTTTCAGAATGAGTGTTTGAATACTTCTCGGATGGTAAATTTATCTGCAAATGAGGTCCTTGCTGCTTTCATGAAGCCTTGTGCTGATTTCTTTCCTTCCCTGCTGATCTCTTGTCCCAGCAGGAGAAATTTCTCTTGAAGGTGACATTGTGGAGAGTTTGATGTAGACAGTTGACTTGTATTGGCTTTGATTGTTTTTTAGCTTGGCATGTATAAGGTAAAATACACACAGTATTTCTACTGGTGAAGCTTGACATTAAAATAATGTCTCTGCTCTAAGTGATGGTTGGTGTCAGGTTACTTTGTGTTTGATATCTAACTAACGTTCCACTTGTCATGAAAGAAGTAAGTCAAATTAGCATGGATTTAGAGTGGAGTTTGAAGGAGATGGAGCAGTTGAGAGAGTTGTATTTAGGGGATCGCTTCCCAACCCATGTATAAGATGAAATAGGTTGACTGAGATGGTGGAGGGGAAAAGGATCGCTGGGCAGGGGAAGTATTGCTGTCTTGATGACAAAAAGCAATGCAAAACTAGCTTAGTAGGTCCGTGTGCTATGGCTGTTCTGTATCTGCCATCAGAAAAATACATTGAATGTTATTAAATGTCTTTAAGAATATAGTATAGTAAAACTCTCCTGGGATTTTTTTGGCGATAATCATACATCTGATTAAAAACTGTAACTTTCACATGACTTAAAATGCAGTCTGTGGATTGCAGATGCTTTTTCTTTAAAGTCTGTGTTCAGGCATCCCAGTTGTTGGAAGGTATGCTTGGCAGTCTTGTACTTCCAGTATCTGAGATCTGGAGGCTCAAAGATTGTGGTTCTCTTCTGACCTATGCTTCCTGGAGTGGCTGGAAGGCTCTGCTGGCCCTTTTACCAGTTGTAAATTGTGGATACCTTCGTAGAATCATAAAGGTTGGAAAAGACCTCTAAGATCATCGAGTCCAACTGTCAACCCAACACCAGCATGCCCACTAAACCATGTCCCTAAGCGCCTCATCTACCCGTCTTTTAAATAGTTCCAGGGATGGTGACTCAACCACTTCCCTGGGCAGCCTGTTCCAATGTCTAACCACTCTGTCAGTAAAGAAGTTTTTCCTCACGTCCAATCTAAACCTCCCCTGGCGCAACTTGAGGCCATTTCCTCTCGTCCTATCACTAGTTACTTGGGAGAAGAGACCGACACCCACCTTGCTACAACCTCCTTTCAGGTAGTTGTAGAGAGCGATGAGGTCTCCCCTCAGCCTCCTTTTCTCCAGGCTAAACAACCCCAGTTCCCTCAGCCGCTCCTCATGAGACTTGTTCTCCAGACCCCTCACCAGCCTCGTTCAAACTGAATGTAAAAGATTGTTTGTACTGAGGTCAGTAAGAGGGAAGGGAGCCATTGCAATCTTCTCATTGATATAAATACCTTTCATACTCTGGAATCTGAGGAAAGGATTTTTATCGCTCTTGCCTGAAATCCATTCCTCTTCAAGTAATGGGGGGAAAAACAAAGACCTTAGAAAAGGACCAGGAGGAATATATAACTCATTTGGTTCCAAAAAGCTACTTGTTTCTTGAACTTCCTGTCTTCGGGAGATAACCTGCATCGTTGGGTTTCTAAGCTGCCAGCTGGCATCTATGCTCGATACACTCAAAGAAGATTGCCTCCAGTAGGAGTTCTGAAGCACAATAACCTGTGGAAATAGAAAGTGAAGAATATATTCCTTTTGGGTTTGCTATCTGTTTTAGGAAAGGAGAATGAAATAAGATCCATGTGTGTCTACTTAAGAAATGCCTTACTTTCTCGGGCCATTGGTACCCATAGCACAGTATTTGTCTCAGGCGATTGGACTGTGATGCGCTGTTGAGGAAGCTTGCCTGCTTTTTTTGTGAGCTGTTGTCCTTGTTATTCCTCAGCGTCTGGAACTGTTGCATTAGTGCAGTGTTGAGAGGGTATTTCCAAGCTTGGTTCTTGTAGTGTGGAATAGTTGTCCATGAATTGACATGAATTTGTCCATTCACGGACAACACTGCCACTACTTCTTACGTAGATTAACCTGGAGCATTCTGTGGGCTTGAGAATAATGTATCACTTACCACAGTTGATGTTTTGGGCCCTCTTACAGAAGAGTGCTGAAAGTGATGTACTGAAAAGCTGTATCTTCAGTTAGAGATAAATATCTTTCTCTGTGATACTTGTGATCGAGGGATTGAAAATCAGCTTTGAATGGTAAAAATGAGAGAAGTTTACAGCTTGCAAGCGGGGAAAAAGAATCTCGATATCACCATGTATATTTTTATATTTCTGAACAGAAAAGATCCTAAGTCTTTTTTTGGTGAAAAAATGGTACTTACGGAAGTCAATGTCATAACAAAAGTATTCCAGAAAATAAGTGGTACAGGAGTACGTTTCATGGCTGAAAGGTTTTTAGACTCCTGTTTCACAGTGTTACGAAAGTGAGGAAGTATGAAGTTCTGGGTGCTGAGGACTGGAGAGAATTACTGCCTCCTAAATAGAACTAAGCATTGTCCTTTTGAAATTCTTCCCCCAGAGAAGCATGTCATCGAGATATTGTGAATTTGCAAGTGGAGATGATCAAGCAGTTCCATATGCAGTTGGTATGTACAAAGAGCATGGTGGGAAATATATTCAGTTTTCATTTTCAGTAATACCAAGGCATGCCAACTTCTTCTCTCAAAACTGAAAATCAATTTTGCTTATTAAGAGCAAGAAAGGGAGGATTGGATGTGAAGGAGGGGAAAACTATGAATTGGAATCCGTTAAACTGGTTTATGTTTGATAAATAAAGGGAAGATATACATTGGGTAGGTATCATGAATTCCATATTTCAGGAGTCCTAAAAAGACAAAAGGGAAACAAATTCAGCTGTCCTTTGGAAAGGACCAAGAGCTGGGGTAAGGAGGAGATGGATGGAATTCAAATAGAAAGCTTCACTGCTTGCATACTGAACTGTGTTCTGTGTTCTTTAGCTTCACCTTTTTATGAATCTTTGTTCTTTTGATCTGCATTAAAAAGACCCTGTCTCGGTACTGAACATTTTAATGGAACCTGCATTAGTAGATTCTCATCCTGAAGAAGTGCAAAAATATCCTTTGATAAAATATTCACTAATGTATTAATGATCAAAATAACTGTATGTCAGCATAAAAAAATGTTCTTATCAAAAGTTTTTAAAAATGGTATTATCTAGGTTATTTAATTTTCAAAAGGGATATGAAAATGGGTAGTCTAAAACTGGAGTAATTAACTTTATAGCTGCTGATTGGGCCTTTTTTCTTTTCTCTAGAATGAAATGCACGCTTTACTTGAAAGATATTCTGTAAATGAAAGCTTAGTAGCTGAAATTGAGAGGCTACGAGAGGAAAACAAAAGACTAAGGACTAATTTCTGAAAGATTTTCACTGCTAATTTTATTAGCATGAACTCACTACAGGTGATGTGTTGCTTATGACAGATCATCCATCATCACTGAAGTGTTGTATGAAGACCTGCTATTATTTTGAACATGAATCTTTTCTTCCAAATAAATGGTGTAAGATACTATATGTAATTATAAAATTTGTAACAGACAAACACTGTATAAAGAACTCTTGCAATACTCATGCTAACCACCTTGAAATACATTCTTCTAACAGAAAAACTAAAAGGATAAGTACATTATCAGAGTTTTAGCAATATGTGAAGTGCCTTTTTATAAACAAAATCAAACCAGGATGGATGCCTTTTGTGTAAGAACTTTTTAATATACCTACTTTTCTATCTACTACTTTATTTTTACTGCTGTGAGAAACAACCACCATAGTTTGCCTTTCAGATACTTTCCTTGGAGAAATTCTGCATGATGTGGAGCCTTGTTTATAAGGAGCTGGAAAGTACAGTATTCAGTTAACTTTATTCAACTGGCAACTCTTCTATCCCGAGTAAAACTAGAGCTTGAAAATATTCCTAGATTCAGTGCCATGATCTTTCGTATTATATTCCTAAGTCTGAAATTTGTGCTTCTCTGCTGTGAACTTCGATGTTGCAAATACTATTTGAACTGCACAATGAGATTTTTTGTTACAACTTTAGGTATGAAACTAGAATTCTTTTTATTTACATGTATTTGAATATTGTCATAGCTTGTCCAATTTGAATGCAACTTTAGACTTCAAAATATGAGTATACTCAGCCATTAATTACATAGCATTGTGTAAATGTGGTCTTTCAGTCTGACTCAAGCATCTTTTGTGCCTCCCCCCCTTCCTTTTTATTCGTAGTGGACAACACTTAATATTGAGCCGTTGTGTTGTAGTTTTGAATCTTGTTGGTTTTGCATTATTGTAGCCTTTTTGAGATAGCTGCATACCAAATCTAACTAGTATCTTAGTTGTATGATTAACATAACACACATTAAAGAGAAATCATTACTTCAGTAGCATAATGGTATCATACTTTCATGTAAACATTTCTGAAATGAAGCCCTGACTGCTGAAGTTCATGGGAGGTTTGGCTTGGCCTTTATTTGTGCCAAGAGATTAAATTAAATTAAAACTTCCATTTAAATTAATTTAAACATTAAATTAAAAATTTCTCTGGAAGACTTCAAGTGCTTCTTGCTATTTAAATTGTTCTGGAGGCTTCTTAATTTTCCCACTAATATTTTGTTGTTTCTGTTCACACAATCATTAAAACTCAAACAAGGAAAGTCTGAGAACGTGGTGAGTTAATTAGTTACAACATCTAGCGTTTAAATTCATGATGGCACTCTTCTGCTAAATGAGAAAGCCATAATATATAGTGTAACTTATTTTTATATGTTGTAAAACTAAAAATAAAAAAACCCCCTATCTATACGTTTTCCCTATCTTTAACTTTTTTTTAAAAAAGAGACACTTCCTTTTTTTTCATGTCAGTTAATGACAAATACAATCTTGTAGCAAAATGAAGGTGTTCAAGTAGTCTTTAGTACTAGGGACAGGACTTTAAGTGTCTGCAGTTCTACTGCTTTTATAAGCTATTAAAAATATTTCTGTATCACATATAACTTCACGGTAAGAGGAAGCAAAGTACGTTAATTTCATTTTTTTTTTTTTAAGTAACAACACACAATGTAGAGAACTTTTTTCGTAAGTTCATACGATGCATAAGCTTGACGCATTGACCACACAGTTCGTGAAGACAATAGTATTTGAAGGTAGCAACGGTATCTTACAGTTCTTCTACATGCTTTGCAGTGTTAATGAAGTAACCTTGCATATTTGCATCTCTTGATTTGTTCCCCAAGTGCTCTTGCTGGTATACCCAGATGACAGCAGGGAATGAGACAAGGATCTTGGGTATTTGGCTTGTAGGTAATTTGTTTTCTTGACTCAGAACTGTATAATGTTTTTCGTAATTCCCAAATGGAGGTGATTATAGCAAGAGCGATTAAAAGGAAACATTTTGGCCTTTTGGTTTTTTTTAAGGGAGTTAGGGCTTTTTTCTGTATCTCAGGATTACTGTAGCGCAAGTGGCTACACGTGCTGTGTGGAGACCCAATATGCCTACCACTGTAGGGATGTATTTTGCCTTGTACACAAATCTGATTTGTATGTTAAAATAAAGCTTGTTTTAACCTTTTTGGAAAAAAAAAAAACATGCTGTGGTGATTTCTTTATAAAGGGAATAATCTATAATGTAATTGTTCTACCTCAGCAGGCAAGAGCCTGAGCCAAAGAATATGTAGAGATCTACCTAAAATTCTGCAGTACTCCCTCTTCTGCCTCTGTGGCTTCACATAGACCATCAAATCCTTTTCACATTACCTCATGCTTTTGGAGTAAAGAACAGATGTACAGTTCCCCCTTCCAACCTGGAAACTGTTACAGTCATGACTGAGAGACCATGTTCACAGCTAAAACTAATGTTCCAGCAGATGTTTTGGGTGGGGGGAATAATCTTGTCACCTAAGCTCCTGCAGAGTCAGAGATCCTGCATCTTATGGATGCTTCTGTTTTTAATTCCCTTCTCTCTCATGCACGTATCAGGAAGTTTACTTGCAGTTTCAAGGTATGTAGGCTTTGAAAACTGATTTTGAGTAATTGATTTATTCTCATAAAAATGCAAAATGCCAGCGTATCCTTACTTCCTGGCAATAGCCCACCAGTGCCTGATACACACGCTATGCTGTTCATAAACACCACAACAATGATGAATTTGGAAGTCGCTCGCTGCCCCTTCTCTACAAGGAACAGGACATATGAAAATGAAGAAAATGCTTTACAGACGGCATCGTCAAACTGTAGAGTTTCTTGCTAGCAGATGCCCTGGATACTAAAACTTAAGATGAAAAATGGTCGCAGATTATTTGGATAGAAAGATAACAGATCTGCTGCTTCTGGATGCTTAAGACTGACAGTGTACTTGTGCCTGTGTGATCATTACCGGTGCATGGCAAGAGCTGCACCTTCCTGGTCTGGCCCAGTACAGCCATTTCTGCATTACCTCTTACAGTGCATCTGGGGGCTGATGATTAACAAATTCTCCAAGAACAAACTACGGAAGGAATCTCATACGCTTCTGTCGTGGTTTAACCCCAGCTGGCAACTGAGCACCACGCAGCCGCTCGCTCACTCCCCCCCAGTGGGATGGGGGAGAGAG